TGAAAAAATCCGTAACTGATCAAGTAGTAGAGTTTGAATTTTCTTACGAGTATCGTTTACCTGGATGTCTAACCTTCATCAACGCACGGTCAATGGGTCAGGGGTCAACGTACTCTTGCGCAATCTTTGTTTTGGATGTTTTCGGCGTATATTACGACTACTAACTTACAAATACCGCGGTATACGGTCTCAGACGTTCTCGGCGTGCATTTTTACTGAGGATTCAGACCTTTACTTCCCCGATTTATACGAAGAATTGGCGGAAAATGGAGGAAGTGACAATAAGGATGGCTTGCTACTTCAGCCGTTATTTTTAACGTCTGATTTTAACGGTTCCGGTTGTCATTCTGAGTTTCATTACGAGTTCATTGCGGCAGATTAAATAGAATTTCATAAGTTCATGGGTACATGTTATGGGCTGCAGATGAAAATAGTTGACCTGTGTTAACACAACCAGGAACGCTAAACACATAAAATTCAACACCATCAACTATACATAACAAACAACATATAGAAATATACAATAAAAAGCCCGGAGGTATAAAATCTCAGATTTTACTTGTTTGTACTGGTATCTTATGCCAGCCAACCTTCCGGTAGGTAGCAAATGGTACTACTAGTAACTGCCTGGCAAATAGATTCTGCCTGGCCAATTTGATACCGTTTTTGCAGCCACCAAAAGATCTGCTTGGAGATTACTGTTATTACCTCCATGAAATGTGTCATGGAGGTTATATTTTCAGTTGCGTTTATCTGTCCGTCCGTCCGTCCGTCCGTCCGTCTGTCTGTTGGTCAACAAGATAACTCAAGAACGCCTGGATGGATTGGTTTCATACTTGGTGTGTTGGTAGGGTGTGACAAAAACTGGAAATGATGAGATTTTGGTCCCCCTAGTGGCTTCCCTTGGTACTGAAATTCTATAATTACAGTGTTTTACATTATCTCGCGATCTGGACATGCTAGGGTCATGAAATTTTGATGGAAGGTAGCTCTCGTGCTTGGGAAGAAGTCATATGAGTTTGGGCCCCCTAGCGGCTTGTTCTGGAACTGCAGGGCACTTTCTGGCGAAATGTTTAAAAGCCAATAAGTCCAGACAGGAACAATATATTCTCATTATTTTTGGTGTGTAGGTAGCTGAGAGAGAGATGTACATAATTAAATGCAAATTATGCAAATGAGGACTTTATTTGCATAATTAATGAGGAAATTCTATAATTACAGTGTTTTACATTACTAAGTATCTCGCGATCTGGACATGCTAGGGTCATGAAATTTTGATGGAAGGTAGCTCTCGTGCTTGGGAAGAAGTCATATGAGTTTGGGCCCCCTAGCGGCTTGTTCTGGAACTGCAGGGCACTTTCTGGCGAAATGTTTAAAAGCCAATAAGTCCAGACAGGAACAACATATTCTCATTATTTTTGGTGTGTAGGTAGCTGAGAGAAAGATGTACATAATTAAATGCAAATTATGCAAATGAGGACTTTATTTGCATAATTAATGAGGACATTCTATAATACAGTGTTTTACATTATACTATGTAACCTATGGCAGGCGGAACTTCAACAGATACTAATCATGCAAATGATGACCTAATTTGCATAATTAAGGTGAACATTCTATGATTTCATAATGGTGAATGATGAGAATGTCATACTTGGGACATCTGTAAGTTAATCAAAAGTTAACATACATCACGATGCATATATCGTGTTAATGCAGAGGTCATTTGAACAATTAAAGAAGAAATTTACATTTACATATCAAGATCATATTTCATGGAGGTATGAGATCTCGGAATTCTAGTTGTTTTATATTCTTGCAATTGCAGATAGATGTGGTTCTTAGAAATGTAATGGGAATAAATGTAATGAAAAATGTAATGTTCTGATAACTTCTTGCACTTCCATGCCTTAGTCTTATCAAATCAGATATAAGGCACCAGCAATACCATTGCTGTCATCATTGATGGAGTACCCTTTTATATCACACAAACCCCGGGTAACTGTAGATTTGCAATAAGTGGGTTCATGGTTCCAACTGCACATGCAGAGCTAGATGGATGATATGTCAAAGGTAAAACCAACCGGAAAGGCTCCTGACCTATACTAATACAAACAGTTCCTCATCTTGTCTGAACCAGGCTTTATACATGTCTAGCATCCCATTAGGTGTGAAATCTTTGATTTGGCTACTGAAAGAAATGAAAGATCATCTCCACATCCAATTTGGTTTCAGAGTTTCACAGTAGACAGGAACTGGGGTGAGTGCCTTTCCTGACCTATACTAAATTATGCCTCCTAGGCAAACGCCATCCTGTCTTTTCAAACAGTGACATCAAAAATATGTGGCCTACATTTTAGACATTTTACTGTGCTAGTTCCAGGACTCAACTTGGTCATGTAAACTCTTTTAAAAAAGCTGATAGTAAGTCATCCTGGGAAAGCATGTCACATTGAGCTGGGACCAAACAATTTTCAGTTTTTAGTTTTACAGCTGTATGCCATGACACATGAAGCAGTACATGATGTGTGATGGGGTGTTGGTGAGTGGGTGTATCTATACATTGGTATGAAATACCTTTGAGTGACCCTCTATCTGCCATTATCAGTAAACTAGTGCTTTCTTGGAAAGGCAAACAGGCACCTCTCATAGTGACTGATGGTATGGGAATCATTTCATTCGCACGATACTCTTACAATCAGCATGGACAAAACATGGCTACTACCACGTGATTGGTCAACATGTCTTGAAGAGTCTATTTTTCCACATGCTGCTTGTCCATGAAATATCTGCATATCTCAATCATCACATTTTCACCAACATTTATACACTGCTTTATGAATATAATGACAGAATTCGTATTTTGTCTAGAAGAAAGACGCATGCACATTCTTGATACTTCACTAGACAGCGATTGTTGAATGTCCATTGGCCAATCAAAATTGGATTGGTGTTACCCGTGATTTTATAATTATATAGGATGCAAGATGCATGATGTAAAAGACAACAAAACACACAAAAAAATTGTTTTTATGTATCAAAATTTTTGTTGAGCAATATGTCAAATGTTTGGTTGCTGATTGGTTACAGCCTCTAGTGGAAAGGTGGCATGAAGCAACTATGCATAACAATAACAGGTGCGTTATGACAACACAAACAACGTTACACTAAGGTAACAGGTGTTTGTCTTTGTTTGATTCCAAATAATCTACATACCTGTCTCCTCTATTTATAAAGATATGTAAACATCAACAAATAACAGGTCATGCTCTGAATCTGGGCAGCCTTTGTCAGAACTTGCTGGGTCATGAGGTAGCATCCAAGGCCATTTGAAAGACAACCTGAACGACCACAGGAAATAGCTGGTATCCTGATCAGGGCTGGAAATACCACCTGTATATGCAGGTTACTGTTAGTGCAGGTAAAAGTGGAGCTGTGTAGGTACTGTACTAGTATTTCTGACGTCTACCTGAACCTAATCTGCACTGGTCCATGGGTTTTTATATGCAGGTACCAAAACACAGATTTTTACTTGCTGCACTGACAGTTACCACCTATGAAGTATGGAAGAAATAATGACAATGGTTTCTAAACAGTTTTAGTATACTTCTCAAATTCTATGCGGTACAAGCAAAATTTTTCTGGTGCTGGTGATATTCAATGGCCCCTGCACCAGTGCAGGTATGCAGAAGAAATATTTTGAGCCCTGCTTATGATCCTTTCCCTTTTGTTCTGCAGTCTAGTCACATTAGCTATCAAGTCACGTAGGATTGGTTCAGTCAAATGAATGATCTCAAAACAACAAGTGACCTCACCCTGGGACAACTAAAAACATTGTTGTGAATTGTTGGTTCTTGCCTCCAAGTCCAAGAATTCAATACACTCCAAATCTTAATTGATTAATTTAAATAGTTATTGATTACATGTATATTATTTTTATTTTCCAAAATGTCTAACGTATTCTAGCCAATCTGAATTTTTTTCCATCATTATTCATATTGATTTTGTTTGACGTAATAGTATCAAGTGCTGAATGTGACAATTGATCCTAAGGGGGGTATGGCCGCATGTTACCCCAGGAATGTTGAAATCTTGACCCTGTAAAATGCTATTTCCAGCATTAATTTTTTGAGGGGCAAATTTTGCTGGTAGACCTTAGCTTACTTGAATAGCATTGATATATCATTCTTCATCTCTTTACACAACAGTAATACGCGATGATTTTTGTCCTCTAACAATGAAGGATTGGGCAAATTTTTGTCTATCTTGATCAGCAAAGTTTTGTCAAATGATGGAATGATGGACGCTGGCTACAACACTGGTCTATATATAGACAAAGGCACATAGAGCTTGAGGCAAATGTCAGTTAACACCAGTCAACTGGAAATATGCTGTTAGCTTCTAATAATGTCCTAGCAATGTCTTCAAAAATAATAACAAAACAGTCACACTAATGCTGCCCAATGCTCATTCAAATTCAAATGAACTCATTGACTTGAAAAAAATATAACTTCTCTTGCCAGATAATCTTGTTGTTATGTTTCCATTTGACAACAGTTTCTCATTGTCAATGTAATTAATTACTTAGGCATACAGTGTCGGAATGCATTTGTCTTTTTGTTAATAGCACTGAAAAATGTGAAGTTATGAACAAAGAGGTAATAGATACAAGCTTTTACAGATTTTTGAAGCTCTTGTCCAAATAATTTTGCTCAGTTTGTAATGCTACCAGAAACGCCCCCCTCCCATACCTTTTCGGCTTTCCATATTTCCGGCATATGTGCATATGAAGTACCATAATTCAGAAGCCCCTTTCATAATATCGGACCCTAGACACTCATCAGTGTAAGAGGCTGTTGTTAGTGTTACAGTATCATTGCCAGAAAACCCAGTAAACACGGAGAAAGTGTGTTGTTTGTTTATGCAGTAAGATCCGGGATCGCACAGGCCCATCACGGTACTGTACCTGTCAACACGGCACTAATCGATGTTGTCAGCAGGATTTGGGTCTAAAATTCTGCAACATCTGCCCGAAAAACCTTCTGCGCAATCACGTCGACGGGAGAAAAGTGCGTCAGCAAGACTTTAATAAAGTCAATGGAGACATATTCCACGTCAACGCTGGCGAAATATCGATCGCATTTGACGAGTATGTAGGGAAATTGGAAGTGCGGCCACCAAAGCAAGCACGGGGAAGAACCCAGCCCCCCTACCCATATCGCGCAATCGCCCCCCAAAACGGCCGTGTAACTCGATATACCACAAACAAACGGGCACACCCACCTTCACTTTGATCCGGATAACCTCCCTCTCTTCGGGGAACACGATGCCTTCCATGTTTGGGTCAGTTTTGGGCGGAAAACCGACCCAGACCGACACCAGACAGCACACACTAGCAAAGATGGAAGGTACCAATCCGTGACGTCAGAGCTGCGTCACCACCGGGTTATCCCAAGGCTGGCAAATAAGAGGGGGTTCTGGTTTGCCAACAGTTTGTACTGCGCGGAAAAAGAGCTCCCAGACGTCATGTTGTACAATAGTGGCATTGTAATACTTTAATGTAACCTTTAAAGCAGGTGTAATTTTATAAATTTTCTATTACAGTGATATATTAGCAAGATAACCTCTATTTTTCAAAGTGTGCTCCCCTGGTTCTGGTCTGATAGACATGCCCCAGCCCAGGTGAAGAGGTAGGTAAATTCCTTAGGCCAAGGCCATTCCTTAGATAATCCATCTGGAACACTTACCTGGTAAACATTGCATCACCACTACTTTTGGGCTTACGTTACAGTCACTGCTGTTGTAAAAAGCGTTGATCATTATTACTCCGTGAAGGAGGTCAGGACCTCCGGACGGAGTGTTGTAATCGGCTGATTTTTCATGTTCGCAGTCAAAACACTGGGTTCTCTTTGTGTAATCGGCACGCAATTTTATACGCCGTCTGCGGGCATGCCCGTGTTGATGCACGAATGTGTATTTTTGCCGTTGCTGCTTTCGCGGTCAATGTAATATCGCAGACGCACCCCTACAATTACGAGGCGAATTGGAATGGTCCAGAAAAACGCGTTGTTTGGAATAGCAGTGGGGTTCAAAAAAGTTCATGCAGATACGGGGTGGTTTTTATAAGTGGTTCCAGATGTTTTTGCCCATGGTTAAGAGATGCCAAGTTTTTTGGAAGATGTTCGCAGCCAAAACGCATTCTTCCGTACGTCGCATTTCTGTGTAATTTCGCATGTGGTGTTGCATTATGTCCGGGATGATGCACGTCTTTTTATTTTTACCGTAGCTGTTTTGATATTGGAGTAAATGCTTATTTTCGAAACATCCCCATTTCTTTGAAATGGTTTCGTCCGTTTATGCAACTGTTACTGCGCTAATGACGACCAGTCGCGCTGTCCTGATACACCGCGAATGTGCGAGTGTTCCCTGTAGACAGTCCCGGGAGTCATTTTTTTGCACATTCCAGGAGCCAAACCAAAATACGTTCATGAACCGAGTCCAAAAAACCGAAACGTGAAAATCGGATGATCGGACCTGATGTACATTTCTCTTTCTATAGATTGTACACACAATACACACATCTTTAGATAATCTGGCCATGGCAGGTTAAAAAAAAAGTAACCCTGAATCATACTAGATTAGCGTAAATGCATGTTAATGCGTTCAAAACAAGAAAAAAATTGTTTCCGGGTATTAATCTCTTGAATCACGGCGCTGAATATTGACGCAAAAATATTTCGGGCATCGCGCGCCCTTCCCGCGTCACGTGTAGGCATCTCGCATCTCTGATTGGTTGTTGCGTCTTAAGATGACTGAGCCGACGCGCGTTTAAACAATTTTTCTTTGTTCGATTTATCACACTTCACAGAGAATTGTCGCCAATGGCTACTTCTTTTTGTTGCAATATATAATACTTCACGGAGAATTGTCGCCTATGGCTTCTTGTTATTGCTCATTTGTATTGATTTCTAGTCACAGTAGTTAATCGAATTGAATGTCACCACTTTCTCATAAAATGAAAAGTTGGGAGCAACTTTCTGAATCCACCTGTAACATTTTACAGAGGACTGTAGTCATTGAATAAATCCACGGAGACAGCAACTTCTAGTAAATCAATCATTAGAAAAGCAGAAAACTGGGTCAAACGTCTAATAAAACAAAATGTGGACAAGTTCAGCTCGTCGTTGAGAGATCCCACATCTCACTGCTGGTCTTTAATTTCTCTCTAATTATCTTTAACCGTGAACTATCTATACAAAAATTAGTCCTATATCTGTGGGCTTACCATCCATTGTCAAGATAGAATAAACCTGCTACCAAGGTCCTTACTCCTTATAGCCTAGATCCTAGATGCCAGACCAACTTGGGGCATTGGTATCTCTACAGTGCCCAAAGTACTGCCCACCTGCCTTTAATGCACACTGGGGGTGGTGGGGGGTGGGGGTGGGGTGGATTGGCTGCCAGAGGAAAGACCTGTGCCAACAAACTGGTCCCGAAAGACTACAAAGCCAGCCCCTTAGAAAATGGTGACCATGCTATGGCTCCTTACCAGATGGACGGGTTTCCACCCTCAGTTTCTACTCTGCTTCTATGCATGAAGTTTTTTTACAAGTAAATACAGCTGGGTTAGATGGTAAGGTGATCTGCAGAATTGCTAGTAAGCAAATTGTGAAAATTCCACAAGTGAAAGGCATGACTTGCATGCAGTTCCTACCTGAATTGCTAGGTGATGCTAGATTGCACAGTTTTGAAGTTCTAGTGAGAATGTATCAGAGGTCATAAAATTAGGCAAGAAAATTGTGCTGTTTAGACATCAGGCCAGAACATGACCATGAAAGCACCTGTACCTGTAAATTACTGCTGCAGTTTTATTTACCTGGTCATTAATTACTTCACCCCAAGGGAGAGGTACAGTCAAACATGTCTAAGATGACCACCCTAGGGACCAAGGAAAAGTGGCCTTCTTAGACTAGTGGTCATGGCCACAAGACACAGATTTCATCATTCATGATTTTGGCATGCTTGTTTTGTATGTCATAAGGGGGTGAAGTCTGCCATCTCTTATTGCCCCTTTTCAATGGTGTGGTAGACAGTCCAGGATTCATAAATCAGAGTGGGATCCTTATCATCCAGATCTATCATTATCATCACATACTGTAGATATGGCTGCATAGTCCATGTAGGTGGTGGGCAGGTACGCAGGATTGGTCTATTATCCTAAAACAATGACACAACACAATGTTTTTTTAGCTACAACCAGCATTTATTGTCTATCATTTACCTTTATAAAACTGGGATTAGTGCCACAGCTTGTAATTTGCACTAAAACACACATTAAACAAGCCGAGTGGCCTGGGACAAGCAGTCAGTCAAATCAGCTGGTCATGCCAAATCTTCCTACCATACAACAGATCTGTAGTTTGTTGTGTTAATCAACCAAAAATCATCTCTCAACATTAGTCATCAGTACAGATTTTTTTGTAGATAGATGTTCAAGGCTCCTGATGTTTTGGAAATCAACTAATTGCTGCACACTTCTCAGCAATTTGGGATTTCTTGCCATATCTTTCTCTTGAGACAAATTAGGAGAAAAAGGATATGCCAGGTACAAGCCAAAGCAATACATGTATACAGAGCTTTGTCCTGCATTTTGTATGTTTGAGGCAAACTTTTTGCTAGAATCCACAGCTAACTACTGAAGTTGAACTGTAAGGTAAACACTAACTTGTGTTAAGAGATCCCAACACCAAAATAACAGATCAAAGCTTCTCATACACGTGTTGCCTCCAAAGGAAAAAAACAGGATACAAATATTAACCCTCATTCTACCAAGCCAAAGAACAATCAAAAGAGATGGTATTAGTCTGGTGTCCTGTACACAGAGGTTCATACACTACAACGATTTATAGTTTGTTTACCTACAACATCTTTTGTTATTTTTAGCCCACCCAAGGTTGATCATGATCTATAGTCCTTTGGCAATGTTCAACAACAACTGCACTATGGATATCATCATCATCATCATTACTTGTGTTAACTACATGCATTATAGAGGAAGGGGTGGGAGGGGGGTGGATGGGGCTGTGATTCCCATATACAGTACATATGAAATTACAGTAGAAATGACTACAAATTTCATTCCATACATTAACCTCTAAGGTCATCCTTTTCCGAAATTTTTTTTGGGGAAAAATCTCCAATAGTACTGCTGGTCTTTTTCTTTATTAAAAAAGGTTGTAGTGCTTTCGTTGGCTAAATGCTAGGTAGGGGTTCTGGGGGAGGGTTGTTCATTCAAGTCATTCATTCCCAATTTTCAGCTCTCCCCCTATCTTGTAGCTAAGAATCTTGTTCCAGTCGATCTTGGTACGCGTAACAGGTAGCTGTCGGCGCAGGGCCTTGAACGTCGTGTCTGACATTGTCTGGTAGTTTTCTGAGATGGCAGTCTGGAAAGTGAGAAAAACACGTCTTCTTTAGCTTCAAGAAATAACCCAAGACAGCAGACTTAAGAAGAAAGATGCATAAAAATCCAATAATAGCCATACACATTTTACACGCTTAAAATGCACACAAAGCAGGTAAGATCTTTATAAAAAAAACTAAATGTCTTTTCATGGCTTTCTGTAATGTAGACTATAGTCTATAATTTTCAAGAGGTACACACAGTTTTAGTTTTTACACGATAACTATATATAACATAAAAATACTCCACCTAATAATAATTAAGCACCCCACAGAGTATCCCTCCTACCTGATAGTCATTTTCTGCATCCTCGATTAACTTTGCAAACTCCTTTGCAGTCTGGACCTCGTTCTGTATCGGGGATCAACAAGCACATTATTCAGTAAAAGAAAAATCAGCACTACATAGTCTACATGATTCCTACATATAACAAGACATGAACTTTAAAAAATTAGAGTATTCTTAGTTTTTTTCCCTCCTGCTGCCTCTATTTACTGCCTCCAAAGTCATCAATAAACAAATCGTAAAAATTGAACAAGACTTTTTTACTCCTAACACACTGATGGCTGTTGCAAAATGTTGACATATTTTCTCTCAAGGTTAGACAGAAGATAAGGCATACTTTGATAGGGATGGACTCCTTGACTTCCTTGGAGCTGACCAGTTGTACATTGCCGTCCTCGTAGTAATGCACCTGTACAATGTAATAAGGAAAAGTATGAAGGAACGGCAAGACACTATTGCTAAAAGTACTGAATACCAGTTTTGCATACAGAATTTGGTCTATAAGAAATAACAACTTAAAGGCCAGAAGTACGTGACCATGTAAAAGTCAATGTGTACAAATGTAGCTATTTTAGTCTTCTCTTGGAAAAAATTGGCAAGAAGGGAAATTTTTATGGTGAAGATCTCACCTGGACTTTCAAAACTCCAGCGATCTGCGCGGTGGCTCCTGTCAGGACACATGTCCATTCAGAGCGCCAGCGCCCATTCCTGTAAAATGACAAACAGAACATGTCCTGGTTGTACACAAACAATACAAATTCCCTTGTTACAGAGTGTACTTACATATAAAGTTGTATAAATCTGTGTCACCAGTCCAGAGTAGTCATGTACTGGCCCAGTTGCCTGTTACAAATACTGTCAATAGTGGTAAAAATCAAGGAAATTGTGAGGTCCAGAACACTGAGATAATGGCAATGAGCAGTTCAACCAATGAGACATCAGTTGCATCATCTACATGTTTGTGTCTTTATTTTGCATTTCTAGGTTTTGACGGAGCTGTGCTGGGCTTTGGTATCAGTCTATTGCACAATTTAGACTAACTGGTTTCTTTAGACTTAATTAAATCATACATATGTGCAGGAATGCTAACTATCATGTTTGTATACTACATGTGCAGCAGGATGTTCCAGCTTACCAGAAGTTCTTGGGTGTAAACTGGTGGTCCTCTATACATGCGATCAGGGTCCTCCCTTGGTTCGTAGTTTTGCCGTACACCTGGGCAACAACACATTTACTTATGTTACTGCAGATGCTTTGTTTATGAACATGCAGGCACAAGCAAACAAACAAAAACTGAAGATTTCAGAATTCCGGAAATTCTTAGCTTCCTGAATTCCTTCATGTGCACCCTGTTTGACCAATAATATTGATCTATCGTTCTGCCAATTTCCCACCACCTATGTGCTGTCAACTTACCCTTTCTGGACAAGCAGACACAGCTATCATCAATATGTAATATAATTTAATTCATCCATCACTATAAACAGATGACTTCTGTAGGATGCTAGTATAACAGATACTGATCATTCTACAGTATCTTCCATGAGAACTCAAATCACTCTAGATCTAGTTTTGCTCAGTCCCAACAGACCATATGATTCAGTAACAATCAATAGACTGATCTATCTTTTAGTGACCTTAAGGACATCCTGGTGAGTATTTTGAAGACATTTCATAGCTTCATTGATTTTTGTTGCAAGTAATTTCTCAGGACCATGCCTGAGGATGTCAGTCATTAAGTAAAAGTCAATACTTTATAAAATAGCAATGTCAGTATAATAAGATTCTTTATTCAACAACCAGGAATCAGACCCAGTCACTGTTGACCTAGAGAAGGTGACATGGTCCCCGCAAGATGTCAAAAACTACTGCCTGCCAAATGAAGACCCTTCTCATACAGTGAATGAAATTATTCATGGGCACCACTGTCACTAAAGAATCTCTCAGGGGGACATGTACAGGTTTTACATGTAGAAGGGTTGGCAGTTAGCTATAGACAGAAATATGTGAAAAACAAAAAACATCTTAAAAAAAAACTTCATCTAATAAAGTGATTAGTTCTGATGCTCATGTAATGGTCCCCAGGGCAGTGTAGTCTCATGTGTCTTGTACAGTTAATAATAGGTTTAATCTTTGAAACTATACAGATGAAGTTGAAAGCTACTGACTGTGGTGACTCCATGCCTGTAGTGGTTCTCCACATAGATCCTCATCTCCCTCTCCAGGGCTGCCCTCCACGGCTCCAGCTCACGGTCAACCTACAGGGGATCCGTGGAGAAACTTCTGTTAGACTCTACATTGAGGACTGTAGAGAAATCTCAGTTAGACTCTACTCTATATAAGGATCCAAGGAGAAGTATTGGCTAGACTCTACTGTGAGGATCCGTGGAGAAACCTGTTAGACTCTAATCTCTGTAGGAGTCAACCTTTTCAAGAGTGTGGGCTATACAAGATCTACTTTTAACCATCAGCACACTGGGTAGCTGTCTGGCTTGCTATCATCTATTGATTAAGGGGTTATGCAGCAGGGAGAAGGCCCAATTTGTCAGATGTTTGCCAAATGTTTTGCCACATAGGACAGCTAACTATTCACAATGCATGATATATTAATCCTATTATTAATCTTCAGAATCTACTC